TTATTTTTTTATTATGTAATATTTTGCGGAATTTTCGAAAAACTGCGTTCGGATACTTTCTTCCAGGTACTGTAGATGTCAATATATTTTCGAAGATTTATTAAATAAAAAATTTCCACCATGTGCTCCTAAATTTTTAGATGGTTTACGCTTAGATGGATAACAAAGAGTTAAAGTTGGCATGGGGATTTCAAGGATACAACATTTTAGATGCAATAGTTTGTACCATAAAAAAGAAGACGATCTGGATCAAAAAAAAATCGAGAGATCAAAAAAAAGTGGAATTTATGTAAAAGATAAAGTATAGATCTCATTGAATTCCATATGACTCAGATATATATCACTATATTTATAATGAATTACTTAAAAAAAATTATATACCAAATATAGATAATTCATAGCACATATGTACTAACTCACACTAAAAAAATAAGTAAATATATATAGTAATAAAGTCATTTTTTTTAGCCGTGCTAGTATATTCATGCTAATATATATAATAAATTAGTACTCTTAGTTTATTTGAAATGAAAGAAGAAAAAATGTCTATATATGTGTATGCTATCAATGAGATATCTAAAAACCTTCAGAGCAAATGAAAGGTAATAAATTTTCACCAGATCATCCATTTAGGTTACTAGTGGAAAAACAAATATGGTTATTAATCTTATGTTAGGTAATAAAATACAATGAAAGTTTAAAGGTAAAAAAGGATGATCTTGTATTGATAGGTAAACATTTTGAGCCAGAATGGAAGTTAGTAAAAAATGAGTACCAGATCTTTGCGAATGGACCAAAACAATATCTAGAAGATGTCACATTTAAAAGAATGGCACCACATAAGATTCTGGATACAACTAAATTTTCATCAGAATGAAGTACTGTTGTAATGTTTGAAGACTTATGTATCAAACCAAAAAAAATTCAAGAACGAATTATTCTTACTTTATTAGTAGATGACATCAAAATACACTGCCTGGAAGAAAGTATCGGAACCTCATTTTTTTATTAATTATACAAAAACCTACATAATAACTATAAATAATCATGTAGTTTAGGTCTTGAAGAATATTTATATAAAGTCTCATGCTTCTATCATTCATATTTATTTTTGGTTAAAAAAAAAATAATGACGATCATCAAATTTTTAAAAAATAGAAACAAAAGTTAGTATTTTGTTGACTATCCATTATTGGATATGCATGCATCGATTCTTCTTGGCATGCTTTCGATTAATTTGTTATAAACTTTTTCAGGAATGTTAGACCATTTCTCTTGCAAGGCAATCTCCAATTCTTGAGCACTTTTGGGATAATTTTCACATTATTTTAATCTTCTTTCCAACTCATCCCAAAGATGCTCAATTGGATTGAGATCAAGAGATTGCGATGGCCAATTAGACAAAATGTTTATGCTGTTTTTGCTTATCCAACTTTGCACATTTTTTCCGGTATGCACTGGTGCATTGTCATCCTGAAATTTGTATGCTCTACCACCAAATTTTGTTATTAAAAGGCAACAAATTTCTTTATCATTGTTTGATTATTTTTAAAACAAACTCTTTACTAATAGAAAAGACATAAAATTTCGATCAATCATTCTTTAGAACTTAAACTACAAAATAACAGTTCTATTTTTTTTTTTTAATGTAAAATACAAATTCAAAAAATATCCAAAAATGAAAATCGCGAATTTGATTGAGGTTTGTTTTTTTAAACCAAAAAAATAAATATGAATGATAGAACCGTGGGATTTTATATAAATATTCTCCAAGACCTAAGCTATATGTTGATATAAATTTTATTTATAGTTATCATGTAGGTTTTTGTATAATTAATAAAAAAATGAGGTTCCGATACTTTCTTCCAGGCAGTGTATCTCTTCTATTTATGTAAGTCAGAAATACACACAAACACCTAAGAAAATTTCGCTTTATCCTGTGTGAGTGGTAGTCGGGATGACATTTACAGAATCATACATCAATATACAAATGATCCAAAAAACATCCAAGATCATAGATAAACATTTACAAGAGCAAGAATTTGTGGTCTTTGATTCTACTAAACCAATAGATGATCCTCTAGCAGTCAGGCTCAGATGGGATACGCCATTAACATTAGATAAATAAATTATTGCTTCATAGATGCAAGTGATTTTTCTGCATGATATAATACTAACTTTTTTTCTTTGATTTCACAACATAGTTTCTTATTTGCCTCAAGCCTCATCTCATACTCAATATTAATTTTCTGCTTGAAAGAATTAAATATGATTTGGTTCATCTGGGTATGTCGCTGTAAATCATCTATCACCTCATCCACTCAACATTTATTATTCTTTTCCTGATTACAAACAGGTGGTAGGGGTATGTTAGTAAGAGTGGTTATATCTTGTAATTTACTTTCCTTATCTATAATATTATTATTTAATAACACTGGATTTTTAAGTAGCAATGTATCTCAGCACTGTTGTTGTTTTCTATTTTTATAATTAAAGATTTCACAATCAATCTTTTTTTCTATTTCTGAATAAATACCACTGTTCTAATAGGATATTTTCCTGTTGTGAGACTTTTCCAAATATTCCATTGTATTGATGGACAAAGCTTGTTAAGTTTATCTGTATAGTATAGGTTAAATGGAGGAACATCTTTCATGAATGGTGAAACTACTTTACTGCTCATTACATTATTATGAAATAAAAAAAAAATTTCAGAATTTTAGGAATTCAGAAGTTTCAGTCACATGTGCATTACAATTGTAATGCAGATCACTTTTGCAAAAAATTGAACCATTTATCCATATTAATATATATGTCAAATATGTCTCGCAAATCTAAAAATAACAGATGCAAAACTCAAGGAAGATTCACCGATAATCCTAAGCAGTATATGCAATTTAAAAACTGGGATAAGTACATGCAAAGAAAGACAAAGATCACATAACTATCATAAATAAGAGTACACAAGATGTGAAAACGATTTTTGACTATGTGGAACTATGCAGATATTTAGAGGTAAATATTCTTGATTTGGATATTCTCAACATGCGGTGGGAAATTGTCAGACATAATCCATACATATTATTTATTAGCTTATTTTTTCAGTGCCTTGTGTCAGCTTACATTGAATATATGTAATCTTGACCACCTGGGTCAGTTTATTGATATATAAAAAAATAAAAATACAGGATGAAAGTATATAAAATGTTACCTTAATATTTATTTATGTGTAGTGATCACAATCATCATATTCATGAATATTCATTAAGGGGGTTACACTTATCAAAAATCCAAAAATCCCTTAAAATTATGTGTCAATCACTTGATTTTGATAAGTGTAACCCCCTTAATGAATATTCATGAATATGATGATTGTGATCACTATTTATGTGTTGGTGATGAAATGGTGGAGCTTGGGCAAATGTTTCAAGGGGGGTGTGAGATAGCTTGTTCTAACACATGCATGAGCAAAGATTTGTTTACAATTAGGATGTTCCTCAAAGTTAGCAACATCAGGAAATTTTTTCTGGCGTGGATTTATGTAATTATTACACTATTTATGTAAGTTTACAGTGGGCCCCATAATATTATGCAAATATTACAACTTTACATATTAAAATTTATGGACGTAATATTATAGTGGAGAAAATTTCCTGATGAATAAGCATATAAGAAATTTTACATGCTGTGCCCTATCTAAAGTCAGAGGAATTTCCACTTGCTCTAGATGAAAAAGTCTCATAACATTGAAATATATTCTTACCAGCCACTTGTATCCCAACAATACCAAATTGATTGCTAGTTGGCCTACATACAGAATTTACAGATTAACACTGCCCAACATTTCGGATCATGGAACAACTCATAATGGCTTTTCCTGTTAACTATGTAATGTGTTTAATTATTAACAACGGGGGAGGGGATAAATAAATAAATATATATTCAATTGTTATAAGTTATTATAAATGTTATATTTAATATTATCAACATTAACAATGATTACAATTATTCTTTTAACTTGGTCTAAAGCCAAGCATATTTATACTTCTTAGGGTATTACAAATAACATGACTTTTACAATATTTTATCCAATAAAATATGCTAAATAAATGTTTGAGTCAACTGAGCATTACAAAGAATAATTAACAATTCAAAGTAAATATTTGCATCGGCTAAACAAATTCTTGAAATATAAGTATAGAAATATGAATAGGAACAATTGTTCGTGTGATACTGCGCAATATATGGCGCAGCTATTCCAATAATATATAGAAAGATTGATCGTGATGTAATTAGAGGTTGGAATCGTCCAAAAAATCCTTAGTCGACTACTAATTGGTCAAAATTTCTTTTAGTTGATTATTTTAGTCGACTATTTAGTTGATTATTTTTAGTCGACTATTTAGTCGACTAAATTTTTTTAATACTAGCGTGTAACCATTTGCTTCGCAAAATGGTCACACACTAGTCACG